GCCACAAGCTTATCCAGGAGGAGCAAGTTAGTGACTGGATGCAATTAACTGTTTTTCCTTGACCGAAACATTTAATCAATGTGTTGTAAACTAGTGCTATATAAATTAAATGAACTGAATTGGGCTGACATTAGCTAAAAGGGCGAGAAACGAGTGAGAGGTCGAAGAGTTTTTGCATTTCTGAACTTAGAACATAGGCTTCAAGTGAATTTTGCATAATGTGGGACCTTTAAGGTTCGGGGGACCGCTCTGCCAGTGACGCAATATGGGTGTAGAACAAATAAAAGATAATTCTTGCCACCAGCTAAGTGTGATGGGCCCCTTTAAATACAACCAAAGATCAGTGTGCAGGATGAGATCCAAGTAAAGATGAATCTCCTACCTTGACCTCAGGAAACTGGCTGGTGTAGTTCTCCATGGGCCGGACCAGCTGGTCACTTATTTTCTCCTCAAAGTCGTTCCAGAGGAGATCCTCACTCTGAGGCACAGGAAGAAACAAAAAAACTAATTTATTAATCAACCATTTAAATAATGGACATAAATTCCTTCCCCTGGTATAGATCAGTAAAATGCCCCAGAAAATAATATTCTCTTACTGCTGTGGCTCAATGATACTAATATTTTGAACTTGAGCAAACTGAGTAGGTTGAGTTTGATTAGTTGGATATATATAAAGAACTGTTACCTTACACTCCTCTAGGTTTATATATAAAGCGCTCTAATAACTCAGTATAGGAAGTTCTAATAAATCCATCAAAATATTTTGTTAGACTGTGGACAGTTTATAAATACCTCAAGAAAAAATGAAAAATTCCCAATAATGTACATTTTATTTTCTTGCAGTCTTTAACCATCTAAACAAAAACACTTATATTTACTTCCAGAGAGCCTGATGGTGCTGGATCCCCAGCTTCCCTGCCAGTATGCAGGAGCCTACAGCTCATAAGACTACTGAAAATTTAAAGGTCATATTCCTGATAGAGTGACTGCAAAGATGACCTTTTGAGGTTTAATCTCTCCAACATTCATTACAGCAAATAAAGAAAAGCCAATCTTCACTGCATTTGCTGCTGTGCGTCTGAACTTTCTCACACACTTCCCTCGAAGTGAGTAGAAGGTGGCAAAATGCTCTGATGCATGTCTGACTTCAATGTGCAAAAGCTTCCAAGATGAGGCGTCGGATTGACAGAGGATCGAAATGTGGAGTGATGTCTAAATTCTGGTTTCTCATAATAATATTTTAAATAAATTAATAATGCCATTAAAAACTAAAGCACATCTTCCCTCCTTCCTCCGGCCAGTTTTTAAAAGTTAAGGAAAAGCCCGTCCACACGAAGTCAAAATGAACACGAAACGCTGATATTTTCCAAAACGTTTGCCGTAAAGACGGAGACGTAAAATAAATGTGAG